TAGCTAGCTAAAATTATCACCAAAAGTGTATTTTAGTTGTGTGCTCTATTGCGTTATTTTCGAAGCGTAGCTCTGTTTCTGTGAAAAATACGAACATGATTACCCTACGGCCAGGTCGCAGAGAGCTCTTGGGGTCGACCGACTGCTCTATCCGACCCGAGCTTGCTGCAAAATGATTTCTACTATTTAAAATAGAAGCGAGGACTAATTTCACGACGGACTCGGGTCAAATCGAGCGACTGGGTGGTTCTTACTCTCGCCCTGTCTAGGTTGTCTGCGCCAGTGCTTGCCATAGAGATTTAGAGAAATCTTGGAGCGTGCAGTATAAGATACACCCTGGTTGAAAATTTGAAATAGTTACATGCAGAAGCTCATATTTCAGTCCAATTTACAGCTCAGCACTCTATTCGGAAAACTCAAAAAGTGGCGGCTCATTGCAGCACACTGCAAGTGAGACGACTGGCGGTAGCCATTGTCTCATAGACAGAGGAGGGGAAAAGGGAGACGGTTGAGGGGGAAGGTGAGCGATGAGATGGGAAGGAGAATAGAGGCAGGAAGAAAGAGGTCAAGTATGAAGTTCGAAGTCTAAAAACACATGCTCACACAAGGAAGAGAGGAGACAAAAGGAAAAGGGGAATGAGGATGAGAGGCTGAGGGAGCATGAAGAGAAAGATGAAGAGAAGTGGGGCAGGGAGGAGCAAGATCAGAGGGAGGAGAGAGGAAAGAGGGGAGGAAGAGCACACAGAGGGAATATGAGACCAATGGGGGAGAAGGAGTGGAGGGGAATGAGGAGATGGGACGGGGTGGGGCCAGGTAAGACGTAAAACATCGCAGGTCATAGGCCTCGGTTGCATCAGGGGTGGAACTCATGAAATGTGCTTGGGAGCAGCCACGGGAGCAGCTAAAACAGCTGTTTTGGAGCAGGTTGGGAGCAGCTAAAACTACACTCTGGAGCAGGCTAGGAGCAGCTCAAATCAGTTTTCATTGCACTCCAGCTTATGTCTTAGACAAGCACGGGAGCAATTTCAGTTGTGCTTAGCAGCCCAGATAAACATGAGTGGTTAGGGACCTAGGCAGATGGGATAACAGTGTAACAGATGCGAAAAATTGGAACTTTGTGAGCCTTGATATTTTCCGAGTGGCTTTCAGCTGCTCAAAATGCAAACCAGCACCGCTTATCGCACAGTCCACACGTCCTCGACAGAGTGATTTTATGTGCGAACCACGTGACGTGCGTAAGCAACGGACGTGCAGTTGCGCGGAAGAACAGGGAAACAAATTTCGAGTTTCTCATATTGCGCAACTCAATATCGCAACAAAATTCGAGTTTATCCTATTGTGCAACTCAATATCGAAGCAGCAGACTACGATTAACGGAGTTATCGTATTCGAAGCGATAAGCAGGAGCAAGGTAATGCCGAGCAGATCGACCGCTCGCGTGAGAGCTGCTGGCCGGCAAGGTTTCGGATCGGACTGCGTTTCAGATCTATCAAATCACGATTTATCTTGCAGGAATGCGGTTCCAACTTCTAACGATGAAGTGCTAGAAGGAATCTTTTGCTCATTTGTTTTCAACTGACTGGCGTCCGGATCCCGGGCTGCGGAGCCTCAGGCAATCTGACGCTTAACGACTCGACCTCACCTCGACCGACTTGTTTAACCGCTTATGGTTGAAGAATAACAATCCAGAGGCAGATGGTGTAGCGCTTGGAATCCGAACCCCGAATTTTTTTCGCACACTTCCTACTCGGGATACACAGGGAGAATAAAGAGAAAAAAAGGATTGCAAGGCCGACCAAGCTAAACGCGATCATTGTTGCCAATCGAGTCGATAGAAACCGAAACCAAGACAAAATACAATTTTTTTGGCGCACGTTTTCCAATTTGGTGCATAATGGCGCGAGGTATTGGCTGTGGCGCAGTTTCCGAAACATGGCGCAGGATGGCGCAGACAAATGCGTCTGGCGCAAAATGGCGCAAATGGCGCAGCCGTTCCACCCCTGTTGCATGGACACAAGATCACACCTCCCCGACCACTCAAAATGAAGAGCCATATGCAGCTGCCACCAAAAAGAAAAGGTCAAAGGCCATGAACATAGAATCACTCAAACGAGAGAGAAGGGGGAAGAGGGGAGGAAAGATGAGTAGGATGGGTAGCAGGAAGAGGAAGGTGGACAAGAGAGTAGAGGAAGAGGGGAGGGAGGAATAAGGAGACCGAGGAGATAGAAGGGGAGATGGCGAGGAGGAGCAGTCAAGGGTCCGAAGTCGAGATCAAAGGTCAAAGGCAACGAACATATAATCCTATGAAGGTGGGGAAGGGGGGGCCACAAACATTAAATCATGCGAGGAAATGAGGAGTGAAAGGTTAGAAAAGGCAACATAGGAGAGATGGGACGGGAATGGGGTGAGATTAAAGAAAAGTGAGTGAGAGGGGGGGGGGGGGGGGGGGGGAGGGGCAGGTAGGAAGGAGATCTAGCATCAAGGGCCACGGATACAAGGACGCACTCCGCCGACCACTCAAAATGAAGGGCCCCAAGGGGGGAGGCACTCACTTTATCAAGTGACGTGTTAGCGAATGTCCACGTTTCACCGAATGACACTTTAGCGAAAATTCGGACGCTGCGAAGCGGCGTTCTCGGGTGGGCCAAGTGGGTTCACATTTTTGTAATGAGCCGCCGCAGACTCGCCGCGCGGCGGATGGGTTAACGCGCGCCCCCGTTATTCGCTAAAACGTCGATTCGCTCAAATGCCGCTGTTCGCTAAAACGTCATTCGCTCATCTAATATGGACCCTAATTATAATGAAACGAGTATAATCGCACACACATTGTTAGCCCCCGTTCACTTCTCGCCAAAGAGCCGTCGACACGAGAACATATTTGAGCTTGAGGCTTCGAAGCTCGCTCTGCGTGGACCACTCTTTGCCTACATTTGTTATCTGGACACATCACAATGGCACAGCACAGTCGCATAGCCACGGTACTACCGTTTCGATGTTAACAGTTCACTATCGTTACCGATATTACGGTCGAGGTCATCCACTGATCACTGCAAGGACTGCAAGACGTTGCAAGATCGCCATCGTCCGCCATGATTGCACACTAGTACGGCATCACGGTTATGGCTGTACGGCTTATACCAATTTCCAATTTCTCCAATCGATGTAATGTTTTATAACTCTTAAAAAAAAACTTATTTTAGTACTGTCAGACAGATTTCCACAGTTTATTCCACTGATCTCTATGACAGTGGTTTATTCCTACTTGAAACTTCATGTTTAGTCGTTTACTCGTTTACGCACACTGTTGACAAGCCAAGACGCCAAGAGTGCAAGTAGCTCAAGCCAAGCAAGGTCGAAGCCAGGTTGACCACGTGACCGTATCAGCCGAGTGCAGCTGTAGCCTCCACCATGGTAAGGAAAAACTAGCGCCACGAGGCGCTAGTGGCAGAAAGGCGAACATACGTCTGGTCGGAGATTAAAATCGGTCTCCAAAGGCTGCCAGATGGCGCCACCACTGCCGTTGGCGTGCGCCCTCCGTCCTCCTCCTCCCCCTCCCTCCCTCCCTCCCCCCCCCCCCCCCCCCCCCCCTGGGGTTCTTATTTTTGTTTTTATTTTTCTGGTTTGTTTGCGAGGCTGGTGCCGCGCCGACCGCTGTGAGCGGCCAGCACGGCACCGGTCTAGCAGACGAGCCGCGCGCGATATACTTCACAACAACTGCGCTTCACGTGATATTACCAGTGCAATCAAACAGAAACAGCACGTTCATTGAAATGTATTTTTTTATTGAACCCCATTCAAATGAGTTGCGGTACTTCAAACACGCATCTACAAACTCCGTTGGCAGTCCACCGCCCTCAAAGGGGAACCAAGAACTGTAGTAGGCAGTGAACACAGTAAAGTTGTAAAACGAAATTAATTACTTTAATGTACAAACTAAGAGAATAGCACTTATCATCGAATTATCTAAATGCTCTATAAACAACTCCCACAAACTAAACTTCTGAATACCCAAACAAACAAATCAACACCGAAATAAAGGAAAAGGCTTGCAGGTGAGCTGCATAAGAATAAACGATGAATAAACCATAAACAAACTCGCTAATAGGCAATGCAATTAAGAAAGAAAGAACTACTGTTTTGGAGTGTCTACATCTCTGACTGTAGGTGCTTTATCGGTACTCTATCCTAACATATAAACACGAAGCTGTCAAATTAACTGAAGATTGCTCTGACAGCAACTCACCCAGAGGAGCAAGTCCTTGCAGCAACGGATTCGTAACAAGAACGGTGGGGCACGCGTTTTTCCACAAACGTATCTTCCCACAACTTTCAAACACGGTAGCACCGAAGTGCTCGCTGCACAAACGACGCTGGCGCAGCTTGCTCGTCGGCAAGCCGGGCAGGCTTCCAAAGTCCTGGCGATTTGCATACGCAATCCATTTCGATGCTCTGATGGAAAAGTCGAGTTTCGAACGCTGACAAAAAAAAAAAATTGATATAGAAGTTCACCTGTCGTCTGTTGGAAAGCGGAATGAGCACTCCGAGGTTACTTCGCCGCGCTGTAGACTCCGTAATACGCCGTCATGAGGCACGCAAAACACTCGACAGAATCTCTGTCAAATTAGAGACGTACATCTCTAATTATTATAAGCGCGCAGCAGCGTCGCACCGCACTTTCGATTTTAGCACGCGCGGAACGGTTTGAAAGCTTGGAGTGACGAGCGAGCGCAAACAAAACAAAAAAGACAAAAACGGTCGTTTCCCTTCCCTCTTCCTGATTGGTCGGAAGAGCCCAGAGTGCTTCGCTTTCGGTAGCGAAGATCATATACACGTCGCCTGCGCTGAAAATCATAGCGGCGAATATGAGCATAACAGTTTGGTCGGAGTCGGCTGGGTAGACCTACGAATCTGCTCTTTGGATGGACGTACAAGAGAGAAGCCAGCGACGCGGCGCCCCTATCGGCCCAACCGGGAACTCCGGAGCTGCATTCGGATGACCGTATCACCGTATGTCAACGGACCGTCAAGGCCTGTTTCATCGGACCGCTCTGCCGATCTCTCGGCGTGGAGGAAACGTAAACAAAGGTATGTTTCATTTTCGTTGTTGTTACTACTTGTGCTGAACAATGGAGCGGGCGAAGCGTTCGCTATCAGAGCTATCCGATCGCCAAAAAAGACATAGAGTAGCCGAAAGTGTTCGCAAGGAACTTGAAAGTTGCGGTACGAGCAGTGAGGAGTCGGTGGACACTGAGGTGTTTAGTAGCAGTTCGTACCACATCTCCAAACTTCTGTAATGGAGAGGGAATTTAAAACCTGAAAAAGCTGGGGAACTTAGAAGGAGGAATTTGCTAGACACCCTGGCTGATTTCATAGTTACCGATGTCTGCCAAGTTATGCTTAGAGCACTATATAGCTCCTACGGAGCAGAGTAGCGCATTCCTTTGAACTCCGTGTTTTGCCGACAACATGGCCGACAGAGCGGCTCGGCGCGAGTCACGTGGTACTCAGGGTTCCAGGAGGCGGCCAGCCCTATGGGAGAATACATGGAGATCGACTCAACACGGCTGATTAAAAAATGAACGCCAAGGTCACACTTTTCAAAACTAGTCTGTCGTGAATTTAGTAAAGCACTAAACATTTTATCAAAGTTTTAATAATATCGGATGCGTGTGCAAATTTTGAGAAGGCTATTTCCAAGTCAATAGCGTTTGAAGCAGACGATTTTTGCTCGCAGCGGAGATGGGCTTTTCGGGTTGGCCGGAGCGGGTCACGTGAATGGTGTGACGTCGCCGTGTCGTCTGCTGCATGATGCCGCTCAGGCAATTTTTAAAAAAAAAGTCACGTCCTTGCGGGGCACAAAACTTAGCGAAAATTATTCTAAAATGTTCCATTATTATGTCAAAAACGATTGCCATTCCGTACATCCCCACAATACTGAAGAAACAACGATTTTCTCACGTTCTCCATGCATTTCTGACCGCAGTTGGAACCTCTGGGCGTTTGCCACTAGTCGCCGAGAGGCGGCGTTCTAGATTGCGCTACTCTGCTCCGAAGGAGCTATATAGTGCTCTAGTTATGCTGAAGTAGGGTGTTGATGTCGCTGGCCTGTAATAAGGCGGAGCCTCCTGAGGGGGCGGTTCACCAAGTGATACTTTAGCGAATAGTTGGGCGCCGCGAAGCGGCGTTTACGTGTGGGCCAATACAAACAGACATGTGGGTTCACATTTTTTGTAATGAGCCGCCTCAGACTGTCGCCGCGAAGCGGCGTAAAGCGCAGCGCGGCGGATGGGTTAACGCGCGCCCCCGTTATTGCCCCGGAGGCTCCGCCTTATTACAGGCCAGCGACATCAATACCCTGACGTAGGGCATGAAATTGTCGATATTTCACTGTGGTAGCTGACGTTGTGTTGTAATTATATACTTTTGAAACAGGAGCTGTGCGCACCTGCTTTAAACAGAAGGCAGAAAACAATGAGCCAGCCATCATCGTGCAGGAAGCCGACGCCAAATGGGCTGCTGCTGAATCGGTCAGGCATGCACCAGCTAGGACCAAGAAAATGGTAATATGATATTTCTAATTTTGCTTAAACTCCCGAAAAATACTTTTGCATCCTAAAACAAGCCCATATTTCAAACAAAGGCATTAGTCCACTTTACATAAAGACATTTTTAAGTATTAAGAAATTTATTTAGCCAATGAAAGAACACCATGTTATGACATCGTCTGCAATGAGCTTGACATTGTAGAAAATATGATGCTCATTGACATTGCCCCTGGGTCCGGACAGTTCATCAAACGCCGTTTCATTGAACATTGTTTCATCGAAGCTGTTTCATTGAACACAGTTTTATCGAACGCTGTTTCATTGAACGCCATTTCATCGAAGTTGTTTCATTGAACGTAGCTTATTTGAGCAGTAGAAATATTTTTCTTTTTGAGTAAAGCTATACGCACTCCGGAGTGCGCTTCGGACGGAAATGGCTATACGCACTCCGCTTTTCTCGTATAAAAAGAGTGGACACAACGAGTTTCCTAAGCGGTGCCATGGCATAGGGGTTAGGGTGTCCGCCTCATACGCACGTAGACGCGGGTTCGATCCGTGGTGGGCCTACTTTTTTTTTTTTTTTTTTTTTCCTCGAACATTTTGTTTTGTCGAGACATTTGGCGATATTTACGACATTTCCTTTTTTGCAATGAACAATAAAAAAAAAATAAAAAAAAATGGAATGTTGTCGAGAAACTTTGCAGAACTAAATGGTATCGGACTCCCTTTCCGGAGGTGCGATCGGGGACAGCGGGGCTTGGATTGCCGGCTGGACGCCGCGAAGCGGCGTGTACTGGTTACGCTTTGTAATTAGCAGCCGATACTGTCGCCGCGAAGCGGCGTGAACGCAGGCGGGGGGCTGTGTTAACGAGCGCCCCAGTGATTCGCGCGCCGTTCGAAAAGGGTGGCCCGAGCGGCATGATCTCTCGGAGGAGTGCGTATAGCCATTTCCGCGCGAAGCGCACTCCGGAGTGCGTATAGCTTTACTCTTTCTTTTTAGTGCCGGGAGGATAGCAGTGTTTTAATATTTATTGTAACTTATAAACTTATATATTTATAAAAGGAAGGAACCTTTTTTTGTCACCTTCTATTCTTTTTTTTTTAGTAAATGATGACCTCTGTTAATGAGGCCAATAAGACACGGTAACACTAACGACACTTTTAAAAGCTGTGATCATCAGGTGCAGTGATGAATGCACATCCATTCAAAAGCGTATACGGTATATATCTTCATCCTTGAAGAGACCTATTCTGCTTCAAGATGAAGCCATCCTTGAGGCAGTGATCTGTCTCCGTGGCCCATGATACGGGGAAAAGAAAAGACGTGTCTCCTCTCTTTGTTAATTTATTATAATCGACAGAACCGTGGACCTGCCGGATATTCGACATACAGTAATATACTGCATGTCAAAGATCCGACAGGTCCACGGTTCTGTCGGTTACAAAAAATTGACAAAGAGGGCAGGCACGTCTTTTTTAAGCACATCTATGTTCTTAAAAAGAAAGCTATTCTCTTAGGATAAAATGAAAACAAAGTTAAATCTACAAATACAAAATAAAAAAGGCGCTGCGGAAAATAGCTGTTTCCCTCTTAAGAAAGTGCCTTTCACGCATGAATAAATAGAAGGTTGAAGTGGGAAAAAGTGAGTGGCCGAGAACAGCCGCCTACCTTGCCAGAAAAGAATAAGTCGCGTATCCACTGTCTTCTGTGGGTAGGTCACACTTTGCGGTAAAAGTCTAAACTGGATGAAAAGAATGGCTTGTGCATGCAAAGAAACTGTGGTGAAACTGCTAGGACAGATGTAGGCATTTCTTTTTTTATCTTGATGACACTCTTTGCCCTGAAATAGGCACCCATTTTCTGAATGCAACCAACTTTTTTGTGTTATTTTTTTGCAGGAGCAGTGTGCCTCTTCTCAGGAGTGACTGAGGGGCTGCCACAAGGGGAGAAGGCAAGCATGTTTCTGATTACAAGGATGGACAGTTGGGCTGGGCTAGTTGGTAAGAATTCATGTTGAGAAACGGTGCGAAAACCAGACAAAGGAAACAGAACACACAGTACCTTGTCCTGTGTGTTTTCTTATCCGTGCATTTTGCGCTGTTTTTCAGCATGTTTCTGCCTTGATTTTTCTGTTAGTTTTAAATGTTAGTAGTTGGTTACTTTGATCCCAGTTGGAAGCATGGAATTGGTTAACCGTGCTAAATGCATAGAATTGAAAAAAAAAAAAAAAAATTCATGCTTTCTAAATCATTTAAAATGCTTTTTTTCCTAATGATTTCTTTCTCTTTTTTTACAGCCATCCCATGAGTAGAGTCCCTGTTGTTTGAATTTTTTATGTCAATTTGTAATATGCATATGTTACCTTTAATTTCTATTCATGCATACATTTTAGCCCCAGCTAGTGGTTTCTTTTATTTAATTTATGTACACATTAGTGTGGTATTTTTAGAAGATTTAAAATTTATGTTCTTTTTCTAGTCATTTTTGGTTTATTGCCTCCGTTATTTATTTATATGTCCTAGCCCAAGATCGGGTGTAATTTGAGATATATTTAGAATTTTATTTTAGGCTACTTGCTTTATGTTACTGGGAGTTTTAATATTTTACATTTTTATTTTTATGCAGATCAGCCTTGTAATTTAGTGTGTTCTTTACAATTTTGTAGATCTAATAGCTTGTAAGAAACAGAAGAATTCTCTGGTACTTGTAATGTTGGTTTCGTTTTTGAAATAAATTTATTCCAATAACTTCTTGTTTTCTTCCGGAGTCCTGCTTCTAGGATTTCAAAATGCTGATTCATTAATGGCCTGTAATGCACATCCATTTACTCATATCAGGCACCAGCTCAAAAAATGACTTCATGACAACCATAAATGCAGTTTCCTGGCAGCGCTTGTCAATGTATTTTCGGATAACATTGTTCAGTAATGTCCAAGTAACACATGCAGTAATATCTGGCCAGTGCCAGCATATTGTAAAAACGTTTACTGAAAGTTGACAGAATAAAAGCACTGAGGAAAAACAGATGACCGCTCTTTCATTTAGTTACGACGCTCGTTTTTTGGAAGCAAAGACTCGCGCACAGGTCAAGATTAACTGCAAAAGGAAGGCTTGATCAAAGGAACTTTAGGGAGATAAGGGATGAGTCAGTAACACTCCACCTTCGGTATCTAGTTGATCTCGACCTGTATGCGACTCTTTGCTCCTCAAAAAATAAACGTTGTTGCGAAATAAAAGAGTGGTCGTTTGTGTATGTTCTTCACATTTTTATTCCTTCACTTTTAAGTAAGCCGTAATGTCAGTGCAACATTTTGGTGTAACATTACTGGATGGTAGAATTCGTGGCCATTAACAACAACTAGCAACGTTAGCGACGACGTCCTAGTAACATCACTGATCTAGCATCCAGGTAACATAGAGAGCTATGTTACTGCAACATTTTGATGTGACGTTACTGGAAGGTAGAACTGGTGGCCATTAGCAACGTTTGGCAACGTTATCTAACAACGTTCCAGTAACGTTATTTGGGTAATGTCCAGGTAACGTATGCAGTTACGTTACTGTAACATTGTGGTGTAACGTTACTGGAGTGTAGAATCCGCGGTCGTTAGCAGCGTTCGGCAACGTTACCTGACAACATTCCAGTAACGTTGTAGCCACATTTTGTGCTACTTGGGAATGAGCTTCCCCTAGAATTGTCATAAATGCTTTCTTTGGCAATAACTCTTTTGTTTAATCTATAGCTTTCCAGAGCCGTCTTTTTCTGCATTCCCTCTAGCCACCGATCTCTTTCTGTGGCCTTAACTTTCTTCTTAACTGAGACTTGCTCTTCAGTATCTTCGCTATAGCCCAAAAACTTTCCTCTTAATTTCCTAGTGTGCTGTCTCCACTTTGTGTCTACACTCCTCATGTATAAATAGCTGAAAACCTTTCGTGCCCGTTGCTCCCCATCCATTTGCCTCAACCTATCCTCGAATTCTATCTTGCTCACCGCTTCCCTGCTCTCAAATGACGCCCATCCCATGTCTCCTTGCACTCCCTGGTTTGGCGTTTTGCAATGTGCCCCCAAAGCCAGTCTACCTACTCCGCGCTGTTTTATTTCTAGTCTCGCATGCACTTCGGATTTCATGCATAGCACTGCGTTTCCAAAAGTCAAGCCAGGCACCATGACCCCTTTCCAAATCTCTCTCACCACCTCGTACCTGTTGTAATTCCAAAGTGCTCTATTTTTCATTACAGCTGCATTTCTGTTGCCCTTACCTATTATATACTTTTCATGCTCTCTGAGATATTCTGCACCATCACATATCCATACTCCTAGATACTTGTATTTACTAGCTCTCTCAACTGTAATATTCTGTATCTTCAGCCTCTCAACTTCATCCTCGTTAAAAATCATGACTGCTGATTTTTCGCTACTGAATTCTAAACCTAATTCCTCTCCTTCCCTACCACAGATGCTCATTAATTCCTGCAACTCTGTCCTGTTGTTAGCCATTACCATGCCCGCGGCTGACAGTGTCGCCGGTGGCCAAACGGCGAAACTGTGTGAGAGCGAAAAAAATTATCTCCTTGCCATGACACCCCGGTACACTGTGGCCCTTCAGCACGAGCGACAACCTCGCTGAAGGTCTGCGCGTGTGAAGCATGAGGCGGCACGAGCCGTCTATGCCGTGCCCACGGGTCGACGAGTCATCTGCCGGCGCCGCTTGAAACCTTAGTGAGAGAGAGAAAGAGAGTGAAAAGCGAACTTTATCTGCACTGTGCAAGGAGCACGCTATCCTCACCTGAAGAGTATTATCTTACACCGTGGTCGTGGTCAAATGCAAGTGTGTGAACGGGCCTCCAGTCCGTCGGCTTTAGGCGGGGGGTCGGCAGTTGTAGAGGAGGATTTCCGCCCCTTTTCTCGTACGTTTACATAGAAATAGCTCGAAAGTCCGGACAAAAGAGAGATACCCCCCCCCCTTTCCCTCTTCCGTCTGAACTGCCCCTGTGCCTCCCAGATACACTTACGCCAGCTCCCTCTGGTCCTGTCTCCAGCCCCACCAACGACGACGAGATGTGCGCCTTTTATTTCATGTACTACGTGGAAGGGGACGAGATAACGAGTATGGAAGAGTGCCGCTCCCAGGGACCCCCATCGTACTACTGGCGAAAGGACCCCTTGCTCAGGAACCTGATCACATCGGATATTGACAAAGATGCCAGCACCCCTGACTGAAGCGGGGAACTAACCAGGTTTCAACAACTAGGACTTCCTTGTGTGTAGTGTCCCTTTTTACCATTCAATAGTGGGAAGTGTCAGTATTATTTGTCTGCTCGTTTTGAACTGGTGAGAGGGTGTAGATGATGACTTTGTTCATGCAGGACATGTTCTGGCGGACTGACTCGACCGAGTAATAAAGGTGTTTCTCGTCCAATTTATATTAAATTCTGACACTTAATGTAATTTGTTGTGCTAAACACACACGTTGTTCTCAAGAACATTTCAACTTTATGACATATGTTTCTAACCAACTTTTTTTTTGTAATACACCCCATGCGTGCTTGTTTACAAACTGTAGAAGAAAAGTACTATTACAATTGTAACAGCATTCTAGAAAAAAAAAAGCTATTACTTGATAAAATATTTTACTGGTAATTAAAAATGCGACAATAACTATTTCGCCTAGGTAATTGGAAAGTTTTGTAGCCAACGTTTTCCAGAAATTTTAGTCATGTTGCACTCTGATTTATGAGGTCTCTGACCCTCTACAAGTATTCAGGTCCAAATTAAAAATTCAAAGACACCGGGAGAAATCTTCGAGTTTAATGAAAAAGTTAATTCTGAAATCGGGAAAAGCTTCCCAAAACCTGCTCGTAACAACCTGGATATGGAATTTTAAATCGATGTAATAAATAAATGTGCTCTTTCCAAGCATAGTAATTAAAACATATTCGCGACTCCAACTAACTATAGGTGGCGCCACTCATTTTCCAAGATGGCGGGTTTAGCGAGGGTTGGAGATGCGTGCCGCTGCTGAGCCTGTCTAGTGTGCTGGCTTCACTGAGCGACATAAATTATTTCTGGTAATACGAGGAAGCTAACGTTTTATGAGCGCAGGTCACCTCTTTAACCTGAAAACAAGAACGGTGTTTAGCGTATTAATTACGGAAGGATGCACATTTTAATTCTGGAGTGAAACCGAAACTTACCTCTATTTTGAATTTAATTTCTCGACAGGTGTCTTAAATTCGGATTCTTTCATGACTCAAGAAGTGTCTCACATCGTAATTATTTACTTAGGAAAGTTGTTCGCGGAAACTTTATTTTGTGACATACTGTTCGATCCAGGCTGATATTCGTCGTTGTTGAAAAAATCAGTGCTGATATCTGAGCGTTCTCGTTGCCTTTTCGCTCAGATAATTGTCATGGGAAATAATGACAATTATCCCAGCACAAGACTAAGAGAATAATTCAAATTTTTACAATATGTCCACGAAACGCATAAACTAATAAACGCTGCTCTCACTGCTACAGCCTAAGAGTCAGGCAGCTCAAGTGTGTGTGTGTGTGTGTTTTTATAGCACCGCGTGACGCGTAGGACTTCATATTACATCCAGCGTTTAACTGTTTGTCTATCTTGATAACTATGTCAGAGTTTTTCATATGCTAAAAAGAAAACAGAATTACACCTTTCTGAAAAGACTACTATGGTTAAATAGAGTATTCTCGTGATCTTGGCGTTAATTAGAGGCATACATTGCCGCGATTTTTATTATAATAATAATATTAAAATTCACTTATTTGAATAAGTAATTATTCAAGCTCCAATATAATTTTTTGCTTATGATCTAATTTAAACGCGCGGAGAAATATGACAATGAAAACTGTGCTAATTATCATCACTGGTTCCACTTGCTGCATTTTAATTGCAAATAAAATAAAAATAGTCTAAAATCAATGAAAACATTCCAGCTAATGTGAGAAATCCATGTAAAATTACATGAATTGTGGGTAAAGTATATTGTGCTATCAAAGTCGCAACTTTTGACAATCGGCGAAACGTCCAAAGTCTCCGCCAATATACTTCCAGACCAAATGCCCAAAAGTTAAAAAGAGCCTTTTTTTAATTACTAGTTTTTTCATAACATTTATTTACTTTTGTATTTGCTCGCCGTCGTTTTGCTAATCTCAGCCTTTCCAGATCGAAGGAACGCCTACCTGCTTGCACGTCTGCTCACTGCAGCACGTTTCGTTGTCGTTGGAAGCCGGTGAAACAGTAGTGAGTTCTAATATTGCGCATACATGTGAACTCAAGCCCTGTGTGTTTGCGTTAGCTTTGCGCGTTACACACTGCGCGTGCGCGGAGCCTGAAATTGCGGTCTTGGATGGCGCGTGGCGATGAGGCGCACGCACAACGTGGGGCACGCAACTCTAACGCAAACGCACACCACTTGTGTTTGCTTCTATGCGCAATACTAAAACTCTCCAGTAAGGTACTATCCCATTTCGGCTGCAGCACTACGTTGGGACAGTGTAGAGTGTTGTTTGCATTCGGAAACGACATTTCGCGAGCCATGATCGCGAGCAGTTCCGCCATGCCCGCTGAGCAGGAGAATCGGGGGACCCTCACTAGAGCGCTTCCAGTTTCCGCCGCGGGAGGGCCAGCGTCGAGCTGGAGACGCGAATACTGTATGTCACTTTCACAAGATGCAGCAAAAAGGTGTTTTTTGCTGCATCTTTTGTTTTTCAAGACCCATGAAACAGCAACGGCCTACACTCAACAATGGCCAGTCCCATAAAAAAATTCAAGTGCCAATTCCACATTTGAGATTGGCAGCTGGTGAAAGGAAAGGCCAATCTGAGGATGTATGGACACGATTGGCGACTTTCATCGCATGCTTTTTAACCTACCTTTTCACGGCTGTGTGTTTTGGCCACCAGGCGCTGCGAATACCCAATTCGCTCGAGAAGGCTCAAAAGCGAACCTCCCGCCAGAGCTTTCTGTCTTAGCCACTAGGGGCCGTAGATTTCGCCAACGTCGCCAGTATTCCGCTCACCCCCAAGGTAGCAGTGCAGTGGGAGCTACGTGCCCCTTCGGACGAGTGACCGCTTGCCCACGTTGATCACACCTCCTGCCCGAACCCACGTGCAGAAGGCAGGGTCAGGTGGTGAAAGGGAGGCGGCCGATTGATCCGGTAACACGTAGCTCCCATTGCACCGTCAGCCGAGGACTAAACAGTGCCGCTCTTGCCAACCACGACACAAAGAAGCAGCTCTACCTTATGAAATAACAGTGAGAGCGCAGGTCAGCTGGTGATAATCGTAATCTAACACCCGAGACTGTGGCACATAAAAAAATATGAGTCTGAAGTTGAAGAAAACGAAGACTATATGTACATTCTCCTATTGTTGTCGTTCTTTTCGACATAAAGGTTTTTTGTTTTGTTTTCACACCACAGTTTTAGGTGTTACATTGTTATTATTCTATATTATGATTGCTTAACAAAAATCGAGAAAAACAAGCGGTTCGAAATGGCAGAAATGTTTTACACTTTTTAAATGAGCGGTGCAACAATATTCAATTGGAATGTTTTTTTCACTTTACAAGAGCTTACTGGCACTAATGCGACTCAAGGATACTTGCATGCAACGCCACTGGCCAAAAAGCTCCATTGCTGCTGCATAATTTCGAGGACAAAAGTGAGCGTTTTCATTTAACCTCTCCTTCGCAAAACTTGATGACATAGCTGGGCGGTAGCAGTACCGCACAGTGACGATATTCGAATGCCGCTCATAGATCTGACCCGAGCATTGCGTGGTCACTCGATTTGGGGTCATGATAATCAATAGCTCGAGAAGCATTCGTGCAGTGGTCCGTGTCCATTCGCTGCAATGACGACAATAGCCGAACCATAACAATGTCTGGAACTCAGCGCGTGTCCTGTGCTTTACCAACCTTAGCACGTGGTTATGATCAACATTGGCGGCATATAATCGGCTCCGGATCGTGTGGCCGCTTGTTCTGGCTGCGAGTTGAGGGGGCGAACGCTGCTTGTTTTTCTTTATTTTTTCTGCAACTTCCATTGCATGTGGTGAAAAAAGAAGCGGTGTTTCACAGGTCATTATAAGTCACGGATCCGTTCTAAGTGATAATTGCGCAAAGCGCACAAGTCGTGGCTTCGCCCCTTTAAAAGAAACTCCAGAGCCTGGGAAAAATATGGTGGGTTAGGTTCCGTCTTTTCTTGGGGGGGCTATCTTGATGCTTCGTGACTATTTTACCTTGTGTATTTATATCTTATTCAACATTCAACTGCATTTAAAATTTCTATCTGTCCATCTGTTTAGTTAGTTCCCCAAGGTTTGGGCTTCCAATGAAACAATCATTATGCAATCCTGCAATATTTGAGGTTATACAATTTTAACAATTTTACAAATATGCAATTTGAAAGCTGAAATTAACTAAAGAGGGGCACTAAAGTTGATTTAGAGATTGTCTCTTTATGGTGCAAACTCAATCTATGCACCCTACATATAATAGAAAATATAAAAACTACTATTGAGCATGGCCTTTTTGGCATTTAAAAACGCGATCAAACACTGCAGCATGCCCCTTTTTCTGAGGTATCTAAAACATGTCTTGGTGTTTGATCGATTTTTTAAGGGCGAAAAAGGCCACGTGCAATTGTAAAAATGTTTTTTTTGTTATATTTCGGGTGGGTAGATCGAGTTTGTGCCACGAAAAGAGGATCTGGAAATTCACCTTGGTGTCCCTCTATTTTTTCAATTATTCTACAGTACCGTAGTCCGATCTTAATGAAGATTACGTCTGAGATGAAATTAAAATTATACAAAATACAAAAGGATTTTTTTTTATTACATACTGTCCAACACATGTACAGTCGAAACTGAGAGTCACCATCCATATTCAGTTGTTCATTCAAAAAGTCCTACGAAAAAATTACCACACAACATCGTCACCCCAATGACCAAAACAAAAAGAAGGTGATCTCACTCAACTTTTTTTTTTTTTTTTTTGACTTAACCCAGCTTTTTTAAACGCCTTCACTATAGCACAATCTATTTTTCCAGATGTGTGAGTCTGCACAACTCTACACTGAACATAAATTTCGACAGAAAGCTTACAGAAATTGTGGGGCAAACGTTTCGAGATCCGTCGGAAATGGCGTCTACCCCTTACGGGTTGAGGCACGCCTAAATGATGTGGGAATGGTCGAGGCGACAGCCGCATTTTCTCAGTTGGCTCGCACAACCGGTGATCTGCAGGGTACCGTCACCTGCACTTTACGTGGTATCTAAAACGTCGGTTGTGCCACATCCTAAATGCGCTGTTGCCTAGATGGCTTTTCGTTGATAGTCTGGGGGCGCA